GCTTAATTGAACCATAGATTTCTCCAAGGAAAAATCATTAACTTTAACTCATGATTGAGCTATCAACTCTTATTCAGAAGAGTCCCATTGCAAATTCCAGATAGGAATATGAGTAGGCCATTCAACCCATCAGATTTGTTCTGCTGGTTTTTATCAAATCTCTGCTGTGCGCAATTGGCTGCTGTGTTTCGCCCACAAATATAAAGTCAATTCACTTTACAGTATATTTTGTGAAGAGCTTTGAGATGTCCAGAAGACGTGAAAAGTTCTATATCAAATTCAAAGATTATTATTAATATTAATATTATTATCTCATTTCCCTGCCTTTTTTCAATACTCATATTTCCCAAATATCCCTCCAACTCCCTTTTAAACATCTCAATTGATTCTGTCTATGTAGCCTTTTGGGACAGTGCATTCTTCATTCTCACAATCCTTTGTGTGTGAAGCAATGTTTTCTGATCTTGCTTCTAACTGACTTAGACTTAATCATCATACAAAGTCCCCTTATATTGGATCACTTTAAACCAAACAGAAGAGTTGTCCTTATCTATCCTGATCAAATTGCTTCATTATTGGAAACATTATTGAATCACCTCTTAACTTCCATAGCTCAAAGCAACATAATCCAAGTCTCCTGATGCTCTGATCATAGCTGAAGCCATTTATTACCAGGTGCTGTAGTCATTTAGTGAATTGTCATTGCATACCCTCCAAGGACAGGCTAAATTTTCTAAAATTGGATGCTTTTAAAACTGAATGCAATTTTCCAGATAAACTTTGACCAATGTACTCCATTACTAGAGCAGCACTTCACTGCTTTTATATTGCAATAATATTGAAACAACTTTCATAAAGACATTTATCTATAATATGGGGATTGTTCATGTTGAGCATCCAAGAGATAATAAATCAAACATATGCTGCATCATGCTTGTTCTTACAATGCAAATCCTTCAAATGACTGACAATTACTGGGAAATTTCTTAGATAAATGAACACAATCTCAGGATTTTCTGTAAAAAGAGATGTGAAAAGCAATTGTTTTTAAAATGTTATCTTGCGTATTGAACATAAAGCACAACATGAACAATGTGTTTCCATATCACAAAATTTCATTAGTTTTAGGTAGATAGATCATGGTGAAAGGAAGTGATGAGACAGCAAGATAATCTTTACAAGTACCTGTGGGCCTTTCCACACTGCAAGGCGCTGACAAAATGAGAGGCTGAGGCAATTTTGAGCTCCCTGGACAAGCAACCTACAATAATAAGCTGGAAGAATCTTTTGGAACTTGCTCTTGAAAAGTATTTTTATCTTGCTTAACTTTATTCATGCTTTGACCAGATCAGACAATGTAGAACCACAAAAAACCTATAATAATCATCCTATCATAAAAGCTGCTCAAGATCCTGGGCTTGGACCTGGATGAAATACTTGAGTATATTCCTGAACTATTTAAATCCATGGTTCCAAAGATGTCATTTGCAGAATTTATTGTCCACAATTTATTGTCCCTCTGGAATGTCTAGCAAATTGTGGACTGGTATGCTGGACACGTTTTAAATCTCGTGCAGTGAAACACTGTTATCAATGGTAGCTTGGTTCCGAGGTGACTGCGAAAATGGTTCTCAAGGCCAGGACTCAGTAAAGAGCCTCCTCTGTGCTGAGTTGAAAGTAAATCTCTGATAAGAAGAGCTGCTACTAGCTGCTGGCACTACTGAACAGATATCTATGTCTGAAAGCAGCAAGAGCTGAAATGGAAGAATGTCTGACTTAAGTAATTGGTTCCTAATCTGCCTGCTGCCCAATCCGTCATGATGGTTCCCTATAGCTTTTTAACATCAAGTCCAGCAATTAACACTGGTGTTAAAAGCTTCATGATAGACAGAATTTAAATAGAAAAGTAACTCCCCCACCTCCTCCTCTTCCTCCCATCTTGCACTTCCTCCTTCCCCTACCACCCCCCCACTCTCTCTTGCTTCAGGAATAATAGACATTCACTGTATATGTGTCAATCAATTTCTTGAAAAAAGACCTGAATAAAAAAGGTTTGGAATAAAAAAGGTTGCAAGGATAATAAGAATGCGTGAAATTCAAACACTATACAAATACAAATCCCCCTACCTACCTGCCCGTACCCTCCGTTGCTCGGGCTCCGGTCTGCTACACATCCCCCACCCCAACTGCCCTACGGTCAGTGTCCGGGCCTTCAGCCTCTCAGCCCCGAGGCTCTGGAACTCTATCCCCCAGTGCCTTCGTCGCTTCCTCCCTTTCCTCCTTCAAGGCCGGTCTCAAGATCTTTCTCTTTGACCGTGCCTTCAGCTCCCCTCTCGACTCTCTACCCCCTCTTCGCTCCCTCCCTCCCTTCCCCTTATCCTGACCATTTCCCCCCTGCTCGGGTCCTGACCCAACTGTACAGCGCCTTGGGACGTCCTCCCGACGTGAAAGGCGCTCTATAAATGGAATCTTGTTGTTGTTGTGATATACGATGTAGAACAAATGGTTCCTATGTCTCTGAGATAACGAAACATTTAATAAACAAAAACATGTAAGAAACACGGAAATCAAACACGGAAATTATTTTGCGGAGGACAGGTTTGCAGGGCCATGGGGAGAGCGCGGGATTGATTTGGATCGCTCTTTTCAAAGAGCCGGCACAGACACGATGGGCCGAATGGCCTCCTTCTGTGCTGTCTAATTGTATGAGGCTATGAAGCCGGATCGAGGAGTGTGCAGTGGATGGGGGGGTATCATTTTACTTGATTCATTTGGAGTTGGGTGATAAATTGGCAGAATGTTTGCTGGGCATGTTAAATAAGATGAGCCATGTATAGATATATATATATAGGAATTGTGTATAGATACATATTATATATAGATATATATAGTCCTGTAGGAGCTCACTTGATTGGGTGAATGATCTTTTCTTTGCAACATATGTTTCTTGTGTGTGGGAGGAGCCAAAAGGTTATGGTGCGATTTGTGTTGGGGGGGAAGAGCAAAAGAGAGATCATCTGAAATTTGGGTAAGTTTTGACAAGTTCTGCGAGACTGAAAAGCTGCTGTGAAGTGTTACAGTGTTTCACAGGTACAGATAAGAGAGGAAATACAGGAGATAATGTGCAGAGGGGAAGGCAGATTGTCCTTTGCTACAATCTTATCTTGAGGTCTGGGTGTGTTTATGGTGGTCCTGGTGATTCCAGGCTGCTCCAGGGGGGAGAAAGTCATGGATATTTCCTGTTAGGGGATCCTGGGGGCTGGCAACTGTGTCCCTACCTTCACTGCAAACAGAGAGGCACAGGCAGGGAGAGACACAGACAGGCAGGGAGAGAGACAGGCAGGGAGAGAGAGACAGGCAGGGAGAGAGAGACAGGCAGGGAGAGACAGGCAGGGAGAGACAGGCAGGGAGAGACAGGCAGGGAGAGAGAGACAGACAGGGAGAGAGAGACAGACAGGGAGAGAGACAGGCAGGGAGAGACAGGCAGGGAGAGAGACAGGCAGGGAGAGAGAGACAGGCAGGGAGAGAGAGACAGACAGGGAGAGAGACAGGCAGGGAGAGACAGGCAGGGAGAGACAGGCAGGCAGGGAGAGAGACAGGCAGGGAGAGACAGGCAGGGAGAGACAGGCAGGCAGGGAGAGAGACAGGCAGGGAGAGACAGACAGGCAGGGAGAGGCAGGCAGCGAGAGAGACAGGCAGGCAGGGAAAGAGACAGGCAGGGAGAGAGACAGGCAGGGAGAGAGACAGGCAGGGAGAGAGACAGGCAGGGAGAGAGACAGACAGGGAGAGACAGGCAGGGAGAGAGACAGACAGGCAGGGAGAGAGACAGACAGGCAGGGAGAGACAGGCAGGGAGAGACAGGCAGGGAGAGACAGGCAGGCAGGGAGAGAGACAGGCAGGGAGAGAGACAGGCAGGGAGAGACAGACAGGCAGGGAGAGAGACAGGCAGGGAGAGACAGACAGGCAGGGAGAGAGACAGGCAGGGAGAGAGACAGGCAGGGAGAGACAGACAGGCAGGGAGAGAGACAGGCAGGGAGAGAGACAGGCAGGGAGAGAGACAGGCAGGGAGAGACAGACAGGCACACAGACAGGCAGGGAGAGAGACAGGCAGGCAGGGAAAGAGACAGGCAGGGAGAGAGACAGACAGGCAGGGAGAGAGACAGACAGGCAGGGAGAGAGACAGGCAGAGAGGGGCAGCACTGCGGGTTGGGGCGGGCTGGATAGTGTCAGTGAGGAGGTTACACCAGGTTTACAAACCATACAAATGCAAACACTTTTTCTTTAAAAAGAAAGGCTCTGCTGGTAGTTTCTCTGTCTGTCTGTGTGTCTGTCTGTGTGTCTCCCCTCCGGGCCCTGCAATGATTGCCACCTCTTTGCATTTTCTTCCTTTGTGTATTGCAGCTGTCGGTGTGGCACAGAGGGAGAGAGAGAGAGGAGGGAGGGAGAGAGAGGAGGGAGGGAGAGAGAGGGAGGAGGGAGGGAGGGAGAGAGAGAGAGAGGAGGGAGGGAGGGAGAGAGAGAGAGGAGGGAGGGAGGGAGAGAGAGAGAGGAGGGAGAGAGAGAGAGAGAGAGGAGGGAGGGAGAGAGAGAGAGGAAATCCGGATATTTCAGTGACATCAGCAAACGAGAACGTGTTCTTGGGAGCAGATCCTGGTCTGTCTCTCTCTCTCTCTCACTCAGTCACTCAGAAGATCAGCTTCTGATTCAGGTCCTGCAGCCAAAGCCCAGCAATTTCTCCCTTAAAAAGAGCCATGTCCAGCCAGAGACAGAGACCAGGGCAATCCAGCTCCTCCCAGCAGCAGCCAAACCCAGGCTCTTACCCTCTGATGCTTTGCTGAATTCATTGCTCTGTGGAGGGAGAAGGAGACAGAGAGAGAGAGATAGAGATAGAGATATAGAGAGAGAGAGAGAGAGAGAGAGGGGGGAGCAAACCCCCAGCTGGGTCTTGTGTGTGTGTGTGTGTGTGTGTGTCTTGTGTTGCTGGATTTCCTGCTGGTGCATATTTTTTTTTAAAAAAAAAATATATTTTTGTTTATACCTGTAAAGAAAAGATGGAAGAATATCTGAGGTCCCTGCACCAGCTGATGGTACCTGCAGGTAAAGTGTTCTCCTGGGTAGCAGCTGGAGCTATGGTGTTTGGGGGAGTGGTGCCCTACATCCCCCAATACAGAGACATTAAACGCACACAGAATGCAGAGGGATTCTCCATTTACGTCTGCTTGGTATTGCTCCTGGCCAATATATTAAGGATATTATTTTGGTAAGTTTCGACTCATGCAAACTTAATTCATTTAAATATCTTGTTTTTTTTAAAAAGTGGGTTAAAGTGAACCAGTTGGTCATCAGGATCACTTCTCTCTCTCTCTCTCTCTCTCTCTGCTACACTTTGAAATCTCTTGAAAATTAATTCTGAATTTCTTCTTTTTTTAAAAAAAATATAATGCAGGAGGATTGCTTGTAAGTTGAAAGATGGTTTGAGCTTTTCTTGAGAATGCAATGGGGTGGGGTGGTTTGGGTTGGGGAGGAAGGAAGTAGAGACTGTAATGTTGTAATGAAATTTTTGTTTTGGTTTACAAGGGAAAGTTGTCGCACCATTAATTTATCAGTTCACAATGGTGTCTTGTGCAAGAGATAGGATTCCTGATTGTTAATTATGGGCCACTGGGTGCTTGGCAAACTTTTTTTTGTTTGAAAGTGCTTTGGGATGTTGGTTTATGGATGTCAGCAGCCTACGACAAGTGAGTGGCTGTTCTTCCATGTGTGAGCCACCCTTGGCAGCGAATGGGGGATGTCATCTGACTAATTTGCGCCCTTTTCAATAGAGATCACTGGATCGCAAGCAGGACCAGACTCTTTTACCCCTTCTCCCTAAATGCAGGGGTCCACAGTTTAGTCATAGAACCCTTACTGCTAGCCCAGCTAATGCCACACGTACGTGGGGTGTTGGGCGGAGGGGTGGGATCTGTGTCATTCACTAGCACTTTACTGTACTTGAAGTCAATATTTCGGTACATGACATGTCAAGTGACTGCCAGGATGGTGGAAGGTGAAGTAGATGGACCTTGACCTGCGTTCGCCTAGCAAATTCTTATGTTCTTATATTCTTACATGGTGCATTTACCCACTGAACCTTTGGAAGAGTTCTCCCAGCACTCTTTTTGCAAAGACTCTAAATGTTTTCTTAGTTCCGCTCAATAATCAGAAGAGTGGTAGAAATGCATTTGCAACTCTGTCATGAAGGTATTGGAGTGTGCGCACTTCAGGACTTGAAACAAATTGGTGCTCAAAGTTAACTAAAATATTCAGATTGGATTCTTTACATAGGAACATAGGAATTAGGAGCAGGAGTAGGCCATTCGGCCCCTCGAGCCTGCCCCGCCGTTCAGTAAGATCATGGCTGATCTTCTAACCTAACTCCATCTGCCCACCTTATCTCCATATCCCTAATCCCTCTATCCTTAAGAAATCTATCAACCTCAGTCTTGAATATGTTGAAGGACTGAGTATCCATACCTTCTGGGGTAGAGAATTCCATAAATTCACTACCCTCTGAGTGAAGAAGTGTTTCCTCAACTTTGTTCAAAAAGGCTGACCCTTAATCTTAAGACTGTGACCCCTAGTTATAGATTCTTCTACCAGGGGAAGTAGTCTTGCACTGTCTACTCTGTTAAGCCCCATAAGAATCTTATGTTTCTATAAGATCACCCCTAATTCTTCTATATTCTAGAGAATATAGGCCTAGTTTATTCAACCTATCCTTATAGGTCAACCCCCTCATCCCAGGAACTAACCTAGTAAATCTATGCTGCACCCCATCTAAGGTGAGTATGTCCATTCTTAAATAAGGAGACCAAAATTGCACGCAATATACTAGATGCGGTCTCACCAAGGCCCTATACAGTTGCAGCAAGACTTCCCTACTCTTGTATTCTAACCCTTTTGCAATAAATGCCAACATACCATTAGCCTTCCTAGTTGCTTGCTGTACCTGCATACTAACTTTTTGTGACTGGTATAAAGGACACCCAATCCCTCTGAACACTAACACTATCTAGTTTCTCTCCCTCTAGAAAATAACCTACTTTTCTCTTTTTGCTACCTAGGTGAATAACTTCACACCCCATTATATTCCATCTGCCACCTTCTTGCCCACTCACCGAGCCTATCTATATCCCTTTGCAATCTTTTTGTGTCATCCTCAGAGCTTACTCTCCCACCTAGCTTAGTATCAACTGTGAATTTAGATATTTTAAGTTCTATGTCCTCGTCTAGATCATTTATGTAAATTGTAAATAGTGGCCAAGCACTGATCCTTGCGGCACTCCACTAGTCACATCTTGCCAATCTGAGAAGGACCCGTTTATCCCTACTCTTTGTTTTCTTCCCGTTAGCCACTCTTCGATCCATGCTAATATATTGCCTTTAATTCCATGGGCCCTAATCTTGTGTAGCAGCCTTTTATAAGCCACCTTGTCGAATGCCTTCTGAAAATCTAAATATACTACATCTACTGGTTCCCCCTATCTAACCTGCTAGTTACATCCTCAAAAAAAGATTTGTTAAGCATGACTTCCCTTTTGTAAAGCCATGTTGACTCTGCCTAATCATGTTATGATTTTCTAAGTACCCCACAACGACATCCCTAATTAAGGACTCTAGAATTTTCCCTACCACCGATGTCAGACTAACTGGTCTATAGTTCCCCATCTTCTTTCTCCTACACTTCTTAAATAGTGGTTTTATGTTTGCGATCTTCCAATCAATAGGAACTGTTCCAGAATCCAGAGAATTTTGGAAGATCAAAAACAAGGCATCCACTATCTCAGTAGCTACTTCTTTTAAAACCCTAGGATGTAGGCCATCAGGTCCAGGGGATTTATCATTTTTCAATCCCAACAGTTTCCCTAGTACTAATTATTTACTGAAGTTAATTTGCCTAAGTTGCTCACTAACATTAGCTTCTTGGTTCCCCTCTATTTTTGGTAAGTTTTCAGTGTCTTCTAATGTGAAGACAGAAGCAAAGTATTTGTTTAATGACTGCCATATCTTTATCCCCCATTATAATTCCTCCTGTCCCTGCCTGTAATGGATCCACATACACTTTTGATAGTCTCTTCCTCTTTATGTACTTGTAAAAACTCTTGCAGTCTGTCTTTATGTTCCTAGCTAGTTTGCCCTCATAATCCATTTTCTCCCTCCTAATCAGTTTCTTAGTTTTTCTTTGTTGGTCTCTGAAGCCCTCCCAATCCTTAGGTTTACTGCTATTTTTGGCAGTATTATAAGCCTCTTCTTTTAATTTTATACTTTCCCCAACTGTTCCAATTAGCCACGGTTGAACCACTTTACCTGTGGTATTTTTATTCCTCAAGGGACACCTGCAATGAAAGTTTTACACACTCCCCCTCCCATCCCCCATCCCCAAAACGTACTGTAAAAAAANCACGTAATCCTCCTCCCTGAGGAGGGTTTATGCACGTCCCTGTTAAACGTTGTCAAAGTCTCAGCCCCAGTCACTCACTACTTGTGGTAAAATAATCCATGTTCAAACTAACAGAAAGTTAGAGCTGATCAATCCCCTTGTCTTGGTTTAATACCATTGGCAAAATTTTAGTTTCGACCAACTGCAGTCTCTATCCAGATTCTCTCACTCAGGAAGCGACACAGAGTTTGTTTTATTATATAAAAAAGAGGTGTGTATGGGTTCATGTTGTCTTATCCCTGACCTCCAAAAGAAATGCTCATACACAACAACAACTTGCATTTATATAGTGCCCCTCACTCAGGCTAGCGTTCCAGAGCGCTTGACAGTGTTGCAGCATGATTCCCAGTCGGGGGGAGGAGGAGGTGGCCGTAGGCACGGTCGAACAGGAAGGTCTTCAGGTGGGACCTGAAGATGGGGAAGGAAGGGGCAAGAGATAGAGGAAAAGTGTTCCGGAGTTTCGGGGTTTAGTGGCTGAAAGCGCGGCCACCAATGGTGGAACGGCGAGCACGAGGGACATGCAGAAGGCCGGAGCCAGTCGAGCGGAGGCAACGGGTTGGGGATTGGGTAAATCACACTGCATTTACTTCATTCTAAGACTTGTGTATCTTTTATTATAATCCTTGCATTTCAAGATAACGCCTTTCATGTCGTTAGGATGTCTTTTGAAGATTCACTGTAAAGTGTAATGACTATTTTTTACGTGAATGTGACAGCCAATTTTGTGCAGAGCAGTGTCCCACCCTCGGCCATGAAGTGAGTGACCAATTTACCAATTTTGTTTTTTTAAAAAAAGGAAATCCCAAATCAGAGGGTTTGTTAGAATTGACGGCCCTCCTGAGGTGAAAGGCGCTTTATAAATGCAATTTGTTGTTGTTTTAGAATTGTAGAGAAGTTATTTTGCTTTCCCTTGCCTTTTCACTGAGTTTGTAAATGTAACCAGATTCTTTCCAGGTTAGTGATTCAAGTATTACCGATAAAAGAGGAGTCATTGCCAGACCTGTAAAGTGAATATATGCTGCAGTTACAAACTGGATGTTTCCTTTGTCAGCAATTTGATGTCTCCTTTCTTTTCCTAAGGTTTGGAAGATACTTTGAGTCCCCTCTGTTGTTGCAAAGTATAATCATGATCATAACCATGTTAGTGATGTTGAACTTGTGCACTACTGTCCGGATGGTCAATGAACTCACCACACGACGCCGTGCCTTTGCAGGTTGGTGGCAATAATATTAATAATACTTACAATTGATATAACGCCTTTCATGTTGGGAAGACGCCCCAAGATATATCATACAAAGTGGAATGACTGTTTTATGGGCGAACATGGCAGGCAATATATTATTGTATTGAGTGACTAAGGTATTGAGTGACTAGTGTAACACTTACTGTGGAAAACATTCACTGTGCATTTTTAAGCAAATTTCTTTTTTCAAAATATTATATTTCAACATTATGACTGGAATGCCAACTGTGTTGCTAAAAACGTGGATGGTTTTGAAAATACAGTGGTTTTATTTTTAATCTAACTTCCACTCTTATGATGTTTTGAATAGTTTTGACTGATGACAGATAATCTGCTAGAATGGATTTTTCTAGGACATTAAGATGTCGGAGAAGCTCGATGCTCGTCTACTTAAGAATACAGTACAGTATTTGTAAAACAGACTCCTGTGCTAATGTAGCAAACTGACCACAAGGTGGCTGCTGTCCTATCTGGGGTTACTATCTATACCGTGTGTCTAAGGTTGCAGTAGGGGACAGGCCATCCTCGACCTTGTTTTGTGTAACGAAACAGGGCTAGTTGGCAGTGTAGGTATTAAGAATCCTCTAGGGCAGAGTGATCACAATATGATTGAATTCTGCATTAAGTTAGAGAGGGATATAGTTAAATCCGAGGCAAGTATTCTGAATTTAAATAGGGCTAATTTTGTAGGTATGAGGAAAGATTTAGGTAAAATAGACTGGAGAATAAGATTAAGAGGTAAAAATGTAGACCAACAGTGGCAAATATTTAAGGATGTAGTGCAAAATTCTCAGCGGTCGCATATTCCCTTGTGGAATAAGAGTACCACAGGGAAAGCAATTCATCCTTGGCTAACTAGAGCAGTTAGGGAAAGCATCAAATTAAACGAAAAGGCTTATAAAACTGCCAAGAAAAGCGGCAATTCTGAAGATTGGGAGAGTTTTAGAAACCAGCAAAATAAAACTAAAAAAACTCATTAAGAGTGAGAAAAATGAGTATGTGGGTAAGCTAGCTAGGAACATTAAGTCTGATTGTAAAAGTTTTTACAAATATATTAAGAGGTATAGGCTAGTGAGGGTAAATGTAGGTCCACTTCAGTCAGAGACGGGAGAAGTTGTAATGGGGGTCAAGGACATGGCAGAGTCCCTAAATGGGTACTTTGCATCTGTCTTCACCCTAGAAGACACAACAAGTCTGCCAACATTAGAGATGCACCAAAGGGATAAGGACAGGGAGCAACTTAGGGAAATTTTCATTAGTAGAGAATTGGTGCTAGGGAAACTGTTAGCACTAAAAAGTGACAAATCCCCTGGTCCGGATGGCTTGCATCCCAGGGTTTTAAAAGAGGTAGCTTATGAGATAGTGGAGGCCTTATGTCTGATCTTCCAAAATTCCTTGGATTCTGGAACAGTCCCCATGGATTGGAAGATCGCAAATGTCACACCACTATTTAAAAAAGGTGGAAAGGAAAAGATGGGGAACTATAGGCCAGTTAGTCTCACATCAGTGATAGGAAAAATTTTAGAATCGTTGATTAAGGATGTGGTAGTGCGGTATTTAGGGAGCACAATATAATTAGGCCAAGTCAACATGGCTTTACAAAAGGGAAGTCATGTTTGACAAATCTCACAGAGTTTGTTGAGGATATTTCCAGTAAACTAGATAAGGGTGAATCAGTGGATGTGTTCTGTTTAGACTTCCAGAAGGCATTTGATAAGGTGCCGCATAAAAGGTTAGTCCAAAAGATAAGGGCCCATGGAATTGGGGGGAGCATATTAAAGTGGATTGGGGAATGGTTAACAGATAGGAAACACAGAGTAGGGATAAATGGGTCCTTTTCAGATTGTCGGGATGTGACTAGTGGAGTGCCACAAGGATCAGTTCTTGGGCCTCAGCTATTTACCATTTACATCAACGATCTAGATGAGGGCATCGAAGTTAATATATCTAAATTCGCGGATGACACAAAACTAGGAGGAAGTGTCAACACAGAGGACGACATTAAAAAAATGCAGCGAGACATAGATAGGTTAGGTGATTGGGCAGGTAGGTGGCAGATGAAGTATAATGTAGGGAAGTGAGAAGTCATCCACCTAGGTAGGAAAAACAGTAAAGCGGGTTATTTTTTAGAAGGGGAGAGATTGGAATGTGTTAGCGTCCAGAGGGACGTGGGTGTCCCTGTACACCAATCACAGAAAGTTAGTCTGCAGGTGCAGCAGCAATAAGGAAGGCTAATGGTATGTTAGCATTCATTATGAAACGATTAGAGTATAAGAGTAGGGAAGTGCTGCAACTGTATAGGGCCCTGGTGAGACCACACCTGGAATACTGTGTGCAGTTTTGCTCTCCATTTAAGGAAGGATGTACTTGCCTTGGAGGGAGTGCAGCGTAGATTTACTATGTTAGTACCAGGGATGAAGGGGATGAGTTACGAGGATAGGCTGACCAATTTGGGCCTATATTCTCTAGAACATAGAAGAATTAGAGGGGATCTTATAGAAACCTATAAGATCATCAAAGGGCATGATAGAGTAGATAGTGGGAGATTGTTTCCCCTGGTTGGAGAAACTAAAACCAGGGGTCACAACCTTAAAATCAGAGGCCAGCCCTTTCGTACTGAGTTGAGGAAGAACTTCTGCACTCAAAGGGTGGTGAATGTATGGAACTTGCTACCCCAAAGGGCTGTTGACGCTCAGTCCTTGAACATATTCAAGACTGAGATAGATAGATTTCTTATTGCAAAAGGGATTAAGGGATATGGGGATAAGGCAGGGTCAGGTTATTAGCTGGAGTTAGATTGGAAGATCAGCCATGATTGAATGGCGGGGCAGGTTCAAAGGGCCGAATGGCCTACTCCTGCTCCTACATGTTATGTATGAAAAAGTAACCCTATTACTAATCCTTTGGGACCAACACACCTGGATGAAAGTTTTTCACCTGCTCTCTCAGTTGCAATCGTATCACTGTTAACGTATCCTAAGATCTTAGTTCAAAGCCTGCGCTGCACATTTTGCTGATGGAGTTGTGGTTATACTAGGTTAACTATTTGCTGCAGTATGATCTAGTTTTGAGCAGTTGGTTAATTTGATCAGTAGCTTGTAAATGTTGCAACAGGTCAAGCGATTCAGTGACACTTCAATTTAAAATCAGAGGCATGCTTTTTATCTGCGTGATTTGTAAGCTTTTCTTAAGTTAGGGACAGAGATCCTACAAAATGAGTTAAATGATGGATTTGTGACTCTGCAGTAGATCAGTTTAGCCATTAATGCACTAGTTGATCACAGCCCACAAACTGAAATTGATCAAAAAATAATATTCCAAAGTACTCTTTAAAGTAGCTTTAATTATTTATTGGAAAGAAATTACATCCCTTGTAATGTGCTAATAAAATGTGCTGCATTTCCTAATCCAGGCCTTTGGAAATGTGCATTTCCCAAAATCCCATTAGCACCAATTTTTCTAAAGGCAGTACTTCTAACAATGACTGGAATTTCAGTCTAATAGTGAAGGAATAACCAACTCCAATACTGGCAACTGAGACAAAGCAATGAAACCACTGAGGAGGAATGTCACCTGTGTCTAGATTTACTCCGTTTGTGTAGCATTTTAGGGCAGCCAGAATTTGGAAATTGTTGAATTTAGCCTTGACTTTGAAGTTTGTTTTTTTATTTCTTAAAAGAACGTACATGAAAACCAGCTTTTTAGGAATCTTCCGCATTCTGAACGCTTTAAAATGCTACATAATTGGTGGAATTTTTCTCCAGTGCACATTTCACTGAACTGTCCAGTTGTTTAATTCAGAGGAAACACTTGAGTCGAATTACTTTGTGAAGAAAATTGCATTGGGATGGTTTTTATTTTAGACACAGTGAGTCTTAATTTGCGATGTTTGCCAAGGGATTATAAATTGTGAATCTGTCAGGAGGCCGCAAGTGCCTGTGCAGACCACGATCTTAGCTTTGGTTTCCAGATTATAGCCAAAGGAGGTGCCCGCCACCTTATAGGACAGAACAGCTGTTCCAGGTCCACAATTTGTAACTTTTACAACTAAGGTTAATTGTCAACCACTGTGTCATTGGATGGATTGGACTCTCCCATTAAAAGGATCAACCCATAAACTGAAGGGGGATTGGAATTTCACCTGGGTCTCGATTTATTTTTTTAGCATTTCAGAATTTGGCAAATTCTTCAGTACGGTCTTAATTTTGAAGCTAGTTTCTGCAAATTATTTTGATGTTAAAGCTGAATTCAACAATGTGTTAAATTCCGGACAATATCAAATACAAAGAAAATAGAATAAGTGAAAATCCAAATAGAATTTCTCCCTAGGTAATTGGGGGGTGGGAAGGAGCTATTAATTCCAGTTTTGTTTCTTCAATTTCTCCTGAAGGAGATGTTTCATTGCTGGAGTAAGTAACGTTCCAAGGGGCACTGACTGCCAGTTCTCTGGTGCTGTGCCCCATGGCAGGTTGTGTGAGTGGTCTGTCTGGACTTTGCGCTGCTCAACTAGGGAGGATGGTCTGTATGGTAGCTCACCCACCAGCCAAGTACAGTTTTCTTCTGGATAGTGATCAGGAGCAGTAACCCTCATTGATTTTTATTCCTCTCGTCCAAACCAAGACTGGTTTTAGTCCCTCCTGCATAGGCTCAACTGAGGCCCAAATCAGCAAAAAACAGTGACTAACCTGCTCTGTGTGGTTTATTGCATTTACCTCTGTGAGGGTAAGTTTATATTTGGAGTGCAAAAGGTGCATGTGCAAGCAATATTTGGAAGTACTGCACTCATTAATCGTGCAAGACAATTGGATGCTATCTGCTTGTTTCAGAGTTGCTTTGTGCTTTTACAGTGTGAATGAAGGACATTGATATCAGCCTTTTCTGAGGAAGAAAGCAGTCAACATGTATCTATACCAGCTTGTGGGTAAACTGAGTCCAGCCTCTGACAAAGTGAACACTAGTCAACTCAGAATCAGAGCCTTTTTTTGGATCACTGATTTTATGAATATGAAGTCCTGAACTTTTAGTTTAGCAGCTATTTCTTTACTATTTGATTCTCTAAATCTGCTCAACTTGCTAAAGTGTGCTTTATTTCCCTTTTATTAAAAAAACTCTTTTTCTAAGACCATTTCCCAGAAAGAATGAGAAGGAAATCATATTTTGTAATGTCATTTGTATTATACAATGCCAAATTATGTCAAAACATCTAAAAATGCTTTATAGTAATTATTGTGAAGTTTTTTGTGATTTATAAATTAATATGACTGCTGTTTGCTCCAGCAAAGTCCCTCAAGCAGCCATGAAGTGAATAACAAAGTTGGAGGATTGTTTAAACTCCCTTCTCTTTTCAAATAGTGTTAGTCATTAATATTCATTAATATCCACATTAAAGGCAGTGTAGTGTTGACAACTGCTCCAATGCTGCACTGGAGTGTATCTTGGGGCTTAAACCAATAATCTTCTAACTGAGAGTGCTACCTAATGAACCAAGGTGACCATGTCGACTACCACAGATCTGTTGTGTATTATTTATGGTTGCAAGATACCTAGTTTTGCAGGATTTTTCTGAATGTTGGTAGTAATAAGGGATATTGCAAATCTTGATTGGAAAAAATCCATTTGTAGGTTAGAAGTTCCTTTTCTTTATAAAGAGCCTCTCTCCAACCAGAAAGAAGAATTGTTATATAATGGTTGTTGAAAATATTGTACTGAATTCAAAATCAACTAGTTTGTTGTCTCTTTTTCTGTGTCAAAAGACAATAAGGAGGAAGAAATCAAAACAACTAGAAGGTTCTTTCTCGGTATGTATAACCCTATACAGCATGCATATCCCCGCATGCATAAAGACACAGTCCTTTGTGACTTTATATTTTTGCAACTTTTTTGAGTTTTTTTGTTGAATGCATGATCATTTTTTATGTAGCATAATGACTTGGTATGCGCAGTGTCTTTTCATTGGAGGGGATTGAATTGAAACGGCAACATCTAGATCATTTTGAACACCCAGAAGTTTTGAATACGATTGTGATAAACTAAGGTTCCAAGCCAAGGCTATCTCAATGCCTTACCATCTAGATACGGTATTTCATTCTTTTTCCTCTGGTCTCTGAAAGCTTTGCGCATTCCAAGTCTAAATCGTAGAGAGCGTTGTGTGCAACTATTTTGTAATTGTAGTGACACCTGCAGTCTCAGCCAAAACTGTTAAAAGAATCAGCGATGCATTTAGATTAAAGTTTGAGTATTAGAAGTTATTTTGGACATAGCCCAAGTAAGATCCACCCCATAAAGAAATAACAGTTTTATCCCATTTAAATGTCTCAAATCACTTTCAGTAATTCCCATCAATTGTAGTGATTGTTTTTTGTAGGCAACCACTGCCACCATTTGCGCATGTTCCTCCAAACAGCCATGAGGTGAATGACCAATTTTATCTGTAGGATTGTTGTCGAGGGCATCAGGAGAAAAAAAAAATTCCCTTCTCTTTTTGAGTGGTATGGAATTGTTAATGTCCACTCGATCACGGCTAAGCCTGATCCCTGGTTTCCATGGTAAAGGTGTATAGAAGTGCGGTCACTCTTCTCGCCTCTGGCATTGATACATTGGCCTCTGGACTTTGAAATGACGCTCTACGTATACATGAACTTGCAGTGTCATAACGACAATACGAAACAAACATTTATATGGGACCTTTCACGTCAGGAGTACATCTCAAAGAGCTTATGTCAGTTGGGCCTGACTTGAGTGTTGTTATAAAATCCTTTTTTGTGATCTCCACTGCCCAAATGATAACAGTGAGGGCAAAGGCTATCCCCAGTTTTCTGGCAACTTTAGCTAACGCATAAATGTAGTTCTCACATTGGTATTTGATGTTACTGTACTTGCACAATGCCTTTACACATCCGCACATCATTGGCTCCGAACATTCAATGGCGCTGAATGAAATGAAAAATTTTCATTCCAGAGGATGCTTTCCTCTAAAAGGTGGTAGAGGTGCAACTCTGAGTCGGGAATCTTCTAAGATATAGTGGCGGGATAGTCACAATGTGCTTTTATATTAAAAGTTGCATCAGGATGCAAATTTGTAACATAAAAATGGCATCGTTGTGCAATACCACTGACAGGATAGCCAATCACTTGATATTTTATATGACTTCATTTTCAAGAGTAATTACAATTCCATTACTCTAACCTCAATTGATATGAAAGATCTTGTGAAATTTGCTAACTCAATTTATTATTTAGAGTTGTTCAAATAAAACAAGCCAGTGTGCACAATACTAGTTCTAAACTTGTATAAGTTTATAGAAGTTAACAAAAGGCTACTATTTAGATGGTCTAAATACTAGACTAAAATAAGATCACATTACATTTAAAAGAAAATTTTTGCTGATTCTTGCCTGTTTTGGCTGATGTTCGGATGCTGTTGTGAGTCCTTCCTCTCTCCCGACTCTCATAGTTTAGCTACGATAGTCAGAAAGGTACCCAAGTGAATAAGTATTTGAGCTTTCCAGGGTATAGCATGACTTTTGTTTAAAAAGCACTTCATCATCCATTGTAGATTAGTGTCCATTCAACTTGGGGGCCTGAGAGCCAACCGATATGCTGGTGATCTGTTCACCTTCTTTCGGTGTATTCACAGTGTGCTTGGGTACCTCAGTCGCGACAGTCGTTTTCTATAACTTCACTGAAGAATAGATTCACACTTTGTGAGCGTGTGTGTGTGTCTGTGTGTGTTTCGTGCTGTGGTGGATCCTGCTTTGTGATTTTGATTTTGTAACTAAAATGCATTTGGCTCCATTAGCAGTGGTGTGAGCTGAATAACTGTCATTGTGTGCTGATAAACGTGGTTAAAAACACAGTTGTAAAACCATGTGCCAAGGTTCTAAATCTTCAATATAGTGTACAGCTGAAGGTCCCCATGACATTACTCTCCTGACTCAGGATCCATACTTATTCAGCCCATCACTTATTCAGAAACACAAAAGGCTGCCCGGAATATACCTTGCACTAGAATCATGATCCCTGGCTTGGTTACTTTCTTTCTCTGCTTGGACCTGTTGGGATCCGTGCTGTCCGGTATATATTGCCTCGTTGAGGAGCAATCCTTGGGAATGTGCCTTTCTCATCCACTCTCTGGACTGCACGGACTTCCGTAGTCTAACTAGGTTTCCATAGGCTTTGGACCTTTCTGTCTCCCAGCTCCGAGGCTCGCTGAATCCATCTCGTGGCTTCCCCCCCAGGGGTTTGTGAACTCCAGTTAGGGAACCAATGCATTAATGTACTGCAGCAAGGTTGATTTTAGTTGGAATAATTTGTCTTTGTTTTTGCAATGTTGCTAGAATTCTGAAACATGAGCATTAATAATAATAATCTTTGCATTTGATATAGGGCCTTATCACGTCTTCAAGACGTCTTGAAGAGCTTCACAGAATATACTGTATATTTTGTGGACGAAACGCACAGCCAATTGCGCACAGCAATGACCCACAAACTGGTGGATTATGTGACCAAATTATTTATGTTTTAAAATTGATTTTGAAAGAATTATTATCCCCAGTAAAGCGATCCGCCAGACTACAACCGGGTTCCTATTTACTGCAAGGTGAACAGAGGCGTGTGGAGTAAGGAAACTTGCGCAATGTTTCGCCCTGCCCAGGAATCGAACCCAGGCAGGTCCTCTCGTTTGCGAGGCGAGTGCTCTAACCGCTAAACTACCGGACTCCATTCTTCTGAAGATATAGTATTGCAGCAAATTAGGTGCAAATGTAATTCTTGCATTATGTTAAACAACTTGAAACTATTTAACTATTGATAAGGTGCAGAAAGAGACGTCTGTTTTATCACAATGGGCTGAAATTCCTGCCGGTGAGTGGGACAGCTACAATATTAATATTACCTACAGTATCCAGTTTATGTCTAAGTTCAGACTCTGGGCTGTAATCTAGGCTCAACATTCAAGCATGAGTGGGTGTGTTTGTTGGAGTAACTTCCATCTTATACTGATTCACAGTTCCATTAAACATACTTTGTTAAGTGTTTGCTCATCTGCATTTGCTTGTGGATGTTGAATTTTGCAATTTCACAGAATATTTCAGTTCCCCTCCCTCGCACAAATATGTGGCAACAATGAGTGACGAGGTGGAGGGAGGAATGCATTAGGACTGGTCCCATGTTGCTTTTTTACAATGATAATGAATTAAATCAGAATTCGCAGAAAAAAAACGAAGTCACATTTCAGGCAGATTGGGCTGAGATTTGGTCTTTGCTCATCTGTTTTTACACTTCAAGAGTTCAGAGATCTGAATCCATCAATTTATAAACCTTTCACACTGAGTATTTTTAAAAATTCACCCAACAAATGGTGGGTTTACATGCTTATACGATCCTGATGTAGTAAAAGACGTTGGTTCTAATGTTCCAGAAAGCTGCTGTTGCTTTCTGTCCTTGCAGATTTACAAGTCCGGAAGGATATCAGACAGTCAATGTGATGTAGACTTTGTTGGAGTAATAGAAATCTGTGCCAGCTGACAGCAATATGTTTCTTGTAAGCACTGAAACGGTCATTGGACTTCTGTAATGTTGATGAAACTGGTAACTATAGTGATGGGGCCTCCAATGCTTTCAGTGGAGTTACTTTTAGTCTGTGATCCAAGATGATAAATCTTTTCCTCTTCTTGGCACACATCCAATTCATTTGGTTGAATTATAATACTTCAAAATACCACTAAACATAATGTGCCGTAGTGTTTTTTATGTTAGGGGTTATTGGAGACATGACGTTACCTTATTAATATGTCTGTATATTGCATTGGAAATTTATTTCTTTTATGGATTTTGTAAGTCATCTGTACATTTTATTTTTTTAAAAATCCTGAACATCGAATCCCTGTCAGGAATAGTAAAATAAAACATTTCATAAAATGTAACTCTTTTCCCTCCAAACATTTTAGTGTAGACTAATGCAGCAAAGTTGTTGTTTTTATTTCTGTCAAACTACGAACGACTGCAAAGTGGAAGATTGTTGTCCACGATGGGGAAAAAACTCTTCAACTTATAATAGTCCTTGCATCTGGTATAGCGTCTTTCACGTCAGGAGGGCATCTCAAAGCGCTTCACGTGATTTACTGTCAAGTATAGTGACTGTATTATGGGATCCTTAATGTCAACCTGAACAGGCAGACGGGACCTCGATTGACATTTCAGATGAACGACGGCACTTCCGCCACTGCAGCTCACACCCAGTACTGTATTCAAGTGTCTGGCTAGATTCAGACTACGTGAGTTCAAAGTGGAAACGTGGGGCTTGAACCCACAATCTTCTTACTCAGAGGTGAGAGTGCTACCAACTAAGCCAGGCTGACACAATCATGTACTGTTCCCACCCTCTAGCGTGTCTATTCGAAAGTATGCTTTGAGCATCTCAAACGCATGGTAATAACAACAAGATTACATTTGTATAGCGCCTTTCACGTCGGGAGGACCTCCCAAGGTGCTATATCACATGTAATTATTATTATATACATTACGCGAGCATAGGATCAGACTTGCTTATGGTGTTTCTAAGGCCAAATAGCCTGCTGATGCTTATTGTTCAGACAAAGCAAGAAAATGACTTGGGAGAGGTAGTGAAAGGTGAATGCCACCTGTTATACTGCATCTGAGCGTGGAATGGCACATTCAAGAGGGTGAAAGAGGAAGTACCAGGAATTGCAATCATAAATGAGTTCTTACCCATCAATTTTTTTAAAAATCTGACACCTGATGAATCTTCCCTCCAATATAAACACTAACATGCCTGGGAAACTACATTGGAGAAATAGTTTAGCAAGTGGTTTGCTAAAATAAGTTGGTCATAAATAAGGCTTCTCCTGTTGATGTGTTTGTTGATCGTCTTGGTCTTCTAACGTATCAAAAATCCCAGAATTTCAGGTGGCCCAACCAGCATCCATGGTACTGTATTGAACTATACCCATGGCCTGTTTCAGATCATCAATATTTGTTTAGGCAGTCTCGGATGCTTCTCATAAAGGCACTGAAGTATCTTCCGAATGTATGCTAAGCTAGAAAGTGGGGTGTTCTTTCAGTTCATTTATTCAGTTGTTTTACAGCTGTTTGGGGAACTGATTGAGGAGATACTGGAAGTGTTTAAGAAGTATCCACAGAACTTCAAAGGATTCAGAACGACAGCGTGAGCTTCACAGTTAGCTTTCTGATCAGAATTATCCACCTCCCACCATATTATAGTACCGTACTGAAATCCCATTTTCTGCCTTATTTCCAGGAATGCTTTAACTGCGTCGGTTTCCGGATGCACAAATTCACATTGTAGCAGGAGCTAATAGGAAGAATAAACCCTTCCTTATCAGTTTTAATAAATGTTTTCCTTTCCATATAATTGAGTTGCCTTTATGATTTGTGGGTTAGACCTTATATTGTTCAAGGTTTATTTAGCAGTGAAGCTTAGCTCCTGCATATAATTGAACCGTATGATAAGGCTCTCCAGATCTTTCGTTTTTTTAAGTAAACAATGAAATATTTTGCCCTGGCTGTGAAATAACTTCTCCATAGAAACTAATGCTATTGAATTTATCACTTCTTGAGTAGTGAGGTTGTTCTCCAGTAGAGGTCAGTATATGATAATCCACTGAATAAAATTCTATTCCCCATTTTTCATTCAAGTCTTTGTAAATGTAAATACTGAGTTGTCAAAAAACACATTATAGTTACAATATTCCTTGAGAAACCGGCATCTGATGTATCATCAATTTAGACTTGTTTTGTCAGAAAAGGGAATGCTTCTGAGAACAAGCTTAAAATGTGCTTTTAAGTGGCAAGAAGTTAAATTAACCAAAAAACATTCATACTCACAATTATGTGTTAGATCAGCTCACACCAGAGCCAAAATTGCATTCTACTTCAAAAGTCTTAACTGTGGGAAATGGCAACCAAAGTTGAACTTTCCTCTCGAAGGTACTGGGACAAGTTGTTGCTTCACTCTTTCCTTTCATCTTTCCCTCACTTTCCTTGCCTCAAGGCTTAAATTTTGGCCAACATTCTTTGTCCTCATCCCCTCGGCCCTAACACTCAGATTGGGTGCAAACCCTTGACTGTCCAGCACCTTGGGACGTCCTCCCGACATGAAAGGTGTTATGTAAATTTGGATTGTATTATGGGAACCACCATGATTATTGCATGAATGGCCTGATAGTGATTGGCATGAAAAGGGTTAAAGGCAGATTAGAAGATAAATTGTGTTGAAATGAGAGGTATCTAACTCAGAAATGTTGAAGTGTGTCACCAACTAGATTGTGCATCCAAACCATTAAACCTACAATTTTTAAAAAATGTCCACATTTTTGGCCTCCCTATTTCAAAGGTAAGTAGGCTCAAAGGATGAGACAAAATAGTCTTAAGAGTCTTGTATTTGTACCAATTTGACACTGGTCCAGGTTATCTGCATATGAGCTAATTTATAGCTTTACAAGTACAGTGAAACCAGCTCTTTCACAGAATGTACTGTATTTTGGGAAGTGAAGACGACAAGGCTTATGACAAAGTATTCGGCCCATATGCTGCTGTTAAGTGGACTAACCTTATAGACTGGAAAAGCTATAAATTTACCAGGCTATTAAGCTGTCACAGTGGGATATTCAGTTGGAGGTTCCTCTGTAACTAGTTTGTAAGTTTCATGGTTAAGATCCTACCAAGACCAGTACAGAAGCATTTCCAGACCAACCGTTATCTTTGACCTTGGTACGATTAGAAGGTTTGTCTGGAAGCAGTATGTATTCAGACATTGAGCACCTCGTAAAGTCAAATGCTGCTAAATTTGTCACTTCGTTACCATGTACGTGGTGTGTGGCTTGTACTGTTGTAAGTGGTACTACAGGCCACTGGTGATGTGGACCCTACATTACAGCACATAAACCCATATGAATGAAGCAATATATTTTCCACAATACACTATATATTAGTGTACTCAGCAGTTTGTGGTGCTTCCAAGGGAGACAGATTAGTCTCTATCAGCATGTTGGGTAGGGAAGATGAGGAAATTGTGGCAAGTAACTGGCATTTCCTTGCAGGCTTGGGTTACGTAGCAATATTAATGAATCATTCCAGTTTTATAGTTTATTATATAATCATTGTAGTACCTTTCATGTCAGGAAGATATTTCATGGATGAAATATGGGATTTCCCAGGCCAGAAGTTTGCATCCCCACAAGTACCTTTTCATTTGGTTTTGTTGTCGTAGGAGGTTGAGGTTTATTTTTCTCTTGGTTGATCTCAATGCTGCACTTAGCCATTGTGGGAACATTTCCACTTGAAAACTACAACCACTATAGAATTTGAATGGCAGAACAGGGAGAAATTTGGAAATGCCACATTTATTCTGAGTTGAACCCAAGCTAATAGCTTATTTTACTTTTTTTCTCTTTGGTTTCTGTCAGATCCTTTCTTAATCTTGACCCCCTCCACCTCAAACAAATTATGCTTAGTTATGCTGTCTAATTTTCATTTGTTGTTTAGCCGTTTGTGTCCGAAGCCTGGTGCTGTTGGGGCAATGTCGGTAGAGAAGGGGATAATTGGCTGGAATCAGATTAGGTTCCAGTCTTATAATTTCTAAACGCTTCATTTCCACAGCTGATTTTATCTTTGAGCAAAAGTTTAAATTGAATGTCTTGTTTTCAGAAAATAGTAGAAGTTAATGAGAAAGATTTTAAATGAGATTAGAAAGGATTATATTTTGCTCTCCTATCAAATGATCTCTCCTTGCTCTGTGTGTTACTTATTAAAACCATGTGTTGCATATTAGCAAGTTGCAGTTAGCTAGCAGTAGGAAGTTGTTTTACAGAGCTTTAACCAGAGCTTTATAGAGTCAAACTAATACAATATCCAGTGGACTGAAGACTAAGTAAGAGACGAGAGTTGAGAAGAGAAATTGTCCAAAGTACTGTAATTGTCTTGATGCTTTGAGACAACTGTCAGCCACGCAATTAATGTTTAGTAATTGAAAAGTGATCAGTAACATAGTACTCATTTTATCCTCCATGTTTTAGGCTTGAAATTCTACATCATCTTCGCTTGTTAAACCACTTTTCTTAAAACTTGAGATTGTGCCGAATTGTATTAAAAATTTGAATTTGGAAACCGGTTTCTTTTTCAGAACTGTGGAAAACTGAATTCCAAATTAAGAGTATTAGATATAAACTCTGTTTCATACTCCAAAACACTGCAGTATTGGAAGTAATATTGCATTGGTTTTGTACCACAGATGAGGTGGCAGCTGTTTCTAAACTGGATCTCTTATATAGGATTAACCAAATGTATTTTTGAAGCATATCTGGATGGTTTTCTAAATATGTTGCTTCTGTTTTAGACTTTGATCTGCAGTATTTCTGGCTATGGAGCAGATTTATCGATTACGTGCAGTGTGTGCTGACTTTCACTGCGGTTGCTGCATACATAACCTACCTCCTTATTGACTCGTCGCTCTTTGTAGAGACACTTGGCTTCTTCGCTGTCTTCACTGAGGCCATGCTGGGTACACCACAGCTATACCGTAACCACCAGAACAAATCAACAGAAGGAATGAGGTAAGATCCTGAACGTTGTAAAAAAACATCTATTTTACAGTCCTTATATTTCTGATTTCTTAGTTGATCAGATCATGCATTCCTAATCTAAGTATTTCAGATGGTTTTCAAACCAGGTACAGCTGTTCGAAAAAAGAAAGGAAGTTTTTCCTGGTGTCCTGGCCACCAATCCTCCTGATAAATTCACTTTATGGCTGTTTGTAGGATATTGGTAGTGCAAAAATTACCTGCCAGGTTTGCCCACATATACACCATCGCCACACTTGTCAATAATTATCTGTGTGAAGCACTTCGGGATGTTTGGATGTTACAAGTGATGTATCGACTTCAAGAATCATTATTATTATTGTAATTCCATCTAGCTAGGGTGAGATGTTTATTTAATTACTGCTGAAGTTAGTTCTTGTTACTTTGAAGTGGCCTTATCCTAGATTCTATTTTCGCTATGGAAAATTCACACCGATTTTAATAACAATGTTACAGTAACCTTTAAGCTGCAGGAAACCCATTTTATTCCAGGACTACATATGATGCTGTTATAGGGGGATAATTACAATCTTTCCTGTATATTTTATACACTCAGTATTATAAGCCAAATAAAACAATAATTCTACTGTTTCCGATCACAAGTTGAGATAACAAGAGCCCCTTTAATTACAGTCTGTCCTTTTCAATCGCCCATCTGCCTGCCCCTCAAAGCACCTGACAGTGATGAGCAAGTTTGATCATTGCAGAATAAGGAAATACTAATGCATTATTTCTCAACTTTTTTAACCAGAATTTTTAACCACTTTAGAATTGGGTTGTTGCTAATGCTGAGTGACATGACCTTTTTCTGTGACATTTCTCAAATGTTCATATTCAGAACTGTACATGGGGTTGCGAACTGAGTTTCCTTTATTAGCCTTTAACAATCTTTTGAACTGAAGATGCAAAGAAATGCCAGATGCCACATTGTAAACAATCTGCAGTAATTTGAATTTGAGAATATGTTTGTTTTAAATAAAGCAAAATGAATCCCATCATTTTGGATTATAATAGACTTTAAAATGTGTGTTTTATTACTGATTCAATGATCTGTATGTCTAAAACAGAAATATGTGTTTTATACTGATCCACTGATTGCCATGATCCAATAAACTATTGGAACAGGTTTAATGGGCTGAATAACCTCCTACTGTACTGTTTCTTGATATTCTTATCTTTGTTGGTGCCTGTGATTCCAGATCAGCAGGAGATACATTGATGATAGTCTGCCTAATAGACTACTATATATTCATATCTTGGGAGACATCAAAGCATGAAGGGGAATATTTTCCCAAATTAAATATTGTCAAGTGTTTCATTAATTTAAAATAAGTCAATTTTACAGCTGAATTTAAAAAAAAAAAGAGTCACGAGTTGAGGGCTTAGGATGAGAATTTTGTTTTTAAATTTGTTTTTAGATCTTAATGTAAATGAATAGAATAACTACTTCACTTTTCTTCATTAAATGGTGCAGCATTCTTTCAGCTGTGTTTCAGCTTTTCATAATATATGTAGAATAAGTGGGAAGAATACACCAGATCAATTTGATGTGCCTCTCAGATTCCAGTCACTAGGAAAGGCAGCATTCAGCATTTAGTACTCCCCTTTCCAACTTGTAGGAGAATCATTTGATTTTTAGTCAGCACCTCTCCACATCTATAACCGAAATGAAGAACTTAGTATATTACCAGCACAACTGAAGAATATTTTGAAATAATTCTCCAGAAAATTCTGTTTCTTATGCGGTCCAAGATGCTGGTTGGGTGAAGGAAGTTAAAAACTGTAAATGCAAGTTATTGCGGTGGTTAAACTTCATTTTGTTACACACAAAAAAAAGAGCTCAGTGAATATTTGACCCTATCATCACTAGATCTTGGGAAATGAATGAAGTCAATTCATAGCTGTCCTGGAAAATCTACAATTACCTGACCTTATAGTTTCCATTGAGCAGATATGAACTAAAGAGCCCAGGGATATCAAAATGTTGGGTAGGAACCTTTTGTTGGCGGTATTCTGTCAACTAGGATGGCTGGTTAAAGTTGGACCTTATACTGGCACCAATCTTAATTTCTACAAATGTTCGATGGACTTGTCAGTTTTAGTTTTCCTCAAAGATCAGGCTGAAAAATGACCACCTGAAAAATGGCACCATACATTGGAAAAGTGCCCTGGGAGTTTTTTTTAAAAAATGCCTTTTAACATTGAATGTTTAATACAAGGTTCTGGAAAGACAGAGCAGCTGTGCTAGCTTATCAAGATTACTGCAAGCTTCTCTTTTACATTAGTTTACGGAGTCCTGTAGCTCAGTGGTTAGAGCGCTCGCTTTGCAAGCAAGAGACCTGAGTTCAATTCCAGGCAGGGCGAAACCTTGGGCAAGTTTCCTTACTCCACACGCCTAATAATAATCCCTCCAAAACCAAAAACAATAATAAATTGGTCATTTTCAACCCACGACTGTTTGTGGGACATTGCTGTGCGCAATTGGCTGCCGCGTTCGCCCACAAATATGCAGTTAATTCACTTTACAGTGTGTTCTGTGAAGCGCTTTGGGACGTCCTCCCGACGTGAAAAGCGCTATATCAATTGCAAGGATTATTATTATTATATTATTATTATATACAAATGCCATGAAACCTTTATTGAGCTGTGTTGGGAGTAAAGGTACAATGGATTTGCGTGCTAAGTGCTAATTTGAATTGGGACTCCTTATCTAGACATTTCGAGCAGGTTAGCAAGCGTGATGCAGCCCCTGACTGTTTTTAGGTTGGAATGAAACAAGATGACAAATGCTGGGTGTTAGAATTAAAACACTTTAAAGGTTCCTTTATTTCTCTCTTTTCAGGGGGGATTAAACTTTGCAAATTTTTCTCATCTCTTTCCCCCTCTCCACCAAAGAAAGAAAAAGATACTTCTGCAAAAAGGAAGGCTAGATCACAGGTGATAATATTAAATATCCAGCCAACAGGAAATCTTTAGTTTTTTTTTCTCCCTTTCCTCCACTCGAAAAGACATTGAAGACATGTTTTTCTTCTACGTTGATCCCGATCCGTGGAATGGCTGTTGGTGATACGTTAAAGAAAATGGAAAAAGCAGATGTCTCACTGTTCTTCTCATCTCTGGAGCAATGTGTCAGTTAGGAAATTTATACGAGTGCAGAGTGAAAATAAATTCTAGATACATCCATCTACTGCTTCCCCAACATGCAACCCTTTATGCTTTTTCAGACTGTGATTGGGCTTCCTGCTGGGAGAACAGCGTGTCGATGTGTTAAGATTACAACTTCAATCAGTGAACAAAACTAGTGCTGGGTTTGGAGTACTGATACACAGGATATCTGCTCTCATATGAAAAATGCAAGAAAACTTAAACTTTTGATTGTGATGGTAGATACTACCAGCTGCTGGCTGTAAGGTGACACAGATATTTGAGCTTGGCCTTTAGTTTTAGTTTATTTCTTTGATAGCTATACAGCAGGATGAACAATGCGTGTTAGTGTTTCAGACTTGCAATGCGACACAGCAATGTGCGAGTGTGTGGCAGCAGTTGTCCCCAATATATCAGTTGTGAATCGGTTCCTTGCTGTAAAATAGCACCAGAAGCAGTAAATGTCAAAATTACAATGAACAGCTATTGGAAGATTGTCACTGCTTGTTCAAGTGGATCTTTCCATCTTTCCTTGTGCTGGCTGCGTGGATCTGGGATGCTGAGTGTGTGACTTTGTGGATCTGGGACGCTGAGTTTGTGACTTTGGCAATAATAATAATACATAATCCTTGCATTGGATATAGCGCCTTATCATGTCTTCGAGACATCTCAAAGCGCTTCACAGAATATACTGTAAAGTGAATTGACTCTATTTTGTGGGCGAAACGCGGCAGCCAATTGCACACAGCAGTGTCCCACAAACAGTCGTGGATTGAGTAACCAAATTACTATCATTTTTTTTAAGGAATTATTACCTCTAGAAAAGTGATCTGCCAATCGACTAACAACCAGGTTCCTACTTAACTGCTAGGTAAACAGAGGCCTGTGGAGTAAGGAAATTTGCCCAGTGTTTTGCCCTGCCGGGAATCGAACCCAGGTCTCTCGCTTGTGAAGCGAGTGCTCTAACCTACAGAACTCCAAATAAGCACATATATTTCTTTGTCTTTACAGTAGGCAATTATTTCCAGTTTTATGCAGTTAGCACTGCAGATACAAGGCTGGGGCTACCCAAACTAATTTCACTTAAGAGTTGTGAAGAAGAAGGCTTTCAACCCATCTATTTGTGTAGGGCTTGAACCCAGAACCCAGTGGACATCAACAACCTACTTGGTTCCTCTGTGCCTTCTTAATGCAGTAAAATATGTATCTGCATGGCAATGTATGTCTGTATTGCTGTATGTTAGCTTTACAGCAGCGATGCTTCAAACTGACCAGACATGTGCCCAGGTAATGAAACCCGTGATTCGAGCATGACATGACTACATATGGAGTACATGTGTTATCACGAAATGGACAAAGAGCAAACGTGTTGCTGTGTCTGATTTGCAAACAGAGATCCTTCTCCTGCATTAATACGGTTCAGGAGAACTGATGTGGGTCTTTATGCTGTCCTACTAAGCACAAATTTCCTCTTAAATGCCATTTCCTGAAGGTTAGATACATGCTTTAAAATCATACAGCAGAACTAGATCTCAGCAAGCTATTAAACAGTAGATGATACACAACCAAGTGCAATCCTGTTCGTCACCTGTCCTGTAATTTATGATGTGACTATGCAGAAGCATTAACTGCTCTTGATCTTGGCCTGTAACAAGTTGAGGTCGACTTACAACAGGGTTCTACTGTATCTCTTTTTTTCCATCCCTCCCCAATCCCCTGAGCAATGACGCTGAGACCAATTGCTGCCTCAGCTTCGATCTCCTAATTTAGCGCGGAATGGACAGGATACAAAACTATATTCTTTGGATCTTTGTAGACAGGAATGATCA